GCTTAGTTAAACAACAGCAATCAGAATACCCAAGATGGCTACTCAATGCTTTGGAGGAATACCAGAAGCTTCAAAATGAGAGCCATAAAAGCTGAATGGAGAGTGCATAAACAAGCCAAAAAAATTCACTTCAGGAAGTGAAAAGTCTCCAGATTCCAACAGGAAAAGTAACAGCCCTGCCACAAGCTAACCAAAATTATGCCAGGTGCAAGGTACAGCTGTGGCAGTAGAAAATGGGATTTTACATCCTACAGAAGCACTCCAATCACTGAGGTATGGAGAACTCTCCTCTCCTGTCCACTATGCTACAGATTTAGACCCTACCTACTTCATAAACACTGCTAAGCACTTATCTTGCACCCAGGTGCTAAGCAATGTCAAGAATAAAGTTAGGTACCTAAAGAACTTAGCTGCAAAATAGCAAGGGTCTAGTAGCACCTGAAGAGTTTACTTTGAAGCCACTTCTGGACCGAATTTCCTGAAGTGGACAAACATTTAGGACTTCTGCATTCAATCCATAACCCCTGGCATTTTGTCTACGTAAAGGAGAAGCCTTAAACTAGCAATTGTAGCTGACTCGCTACAGAGCAGAAAATGCAGACAGGAAAAGTCAGGTTTTTCACCAAAGCAGCTTCTCCCTTTTTTACGTATATGATAACTGCTGTCTGGATGGCTGATTCAAAATTATACCACTCTCAAGATTACGCCAGAGATGGGATTTCACCACACAGGAGACAGCACACATTTTCCAGGGATAAAGCTGCAGTTACAAACGTATCTGTAAAAGCCCGGAGGGACAGACACACAGATCAGGACTCCATGTGCCAATCTCACAGTCCCATTGCCAAAAATATCCTCTGAAAGCAGGTCACCTCCTGTGAAGCCAGCATCCAGCCTGGCACATGCTAGCTGCAAGTAGTGGACACTTAAATCCTTCTTTCCCTGAAGGTGAATTTAGCACTTATCAAAGCACCACTGCTGGACACAGATATACTCTGTCTATCCTCATGAAGATACACAAGGCAACACAGAGGGATCCATCTACACCATCTCCACTTTAACTGACAGCAGGGACAACTGGGAGAGAGACAGCCATAGGTTTGGCTCTCACGCTACTGTCACATAAGATATGCTACAGATATCACGTGGCAATGACTTGCAGTTACAGCTGACGAGAGGAAGCTGGATTTCTGATCTAGAGATGAAAGGTTCAGATGCTGTGAATTATTTAGTATTTTTCATATTCCTACTTCATATTTAATATGTTTTGCTAATGAACTGCAAGTCTCAGGGCATGTAGTTACTAATGTGGTATCTACTCACATGATTTGTCATCAAAATTTACAGTAATCTATAACAACATACGTTCTCATCCAGTGTAAATCGGTGATATATGCCAGCAGGGAGGGTTATCATGTCTCCTTTCTCCATGGAAATCCGGATCCATTTGTCATCCTTGTCTCGAACATCAAAGTAGCCAGATCCATCTAAGACGTAGCGAATTTCATCGTCTAGGTGTAAATGCTCTTCATAAAATGTTTTTATCTAGGAATAGCAAGTCTCTTAAAACTGCTGAACACAGAAAAACTGCAAAGAAATCTGGTAGAAACATGTAACAAAGCAGACAAAGGCTTTCAAAGGGTAACTGCACAGTGATTAACAGATGAGACCATAATGGTTAAAAGAGCAAATCCAGCCAACCAGACCCTGTCTCACGACACTTCTAAGCAAGGTGCTACATTCCCTTTGAAAGACAGTAATTTCTCTGACAAGAAACAGCAGCCATAGCTGCACATAAGCAGCTGCTGAATAACAGTAAAGCTCACATCCCTTTGAGAGAAACGGGTAGAGTTTCCCATTGCAGGATTTGGTCCTCACAGTTATCATTTTTATCATTTTGTGCCTTTTTTTCCCCAAAATGCAAAGCCAAAACAGAGTTACAGGTTATCCCCCCTCTTTTACACTGGTGTAGGGCCGAATCAGCTGCACAAGCTACTACAGCTGTGTGTGAAAATGCAGTTATTGCCAAACTTGGCCACCTACAGCAATTTGATGCAAGCAGCGTGTCATGCCTGCCCCCACACAGCAAGCCCCAGCTCCAGGCTCTCTCCCTCCAGGTAACAGCAGCAATTTTTTTTTTTTCTGGAATTTTGCTTTTTTTCTGGAATTATGAATTCTTTGTATTTGGAATGATGAACTCTTTGTATCTGGAATGGTGAATTCTTTGTACATTTCACAGTATTGAACAAAACCGTGCTTTAGACATTTAATTAACAGAGTCCTGAGCAGGTTAGTGTGATCACAAGATACCATCACCTGCTCAGGTCTGGATGCTGTTTAGCTACACTAGTGCCAGTGTCCCTGAGCCAGTACCAATACAGAGCTGCAAGAGGAGCAAAAGTCCATACACCCTGTCAGTAATGGCTCATTTTGTGTTAGCTAGAGCCTGCCCAGGCAGCCTGAGTTACTACCTAATCATTCTGACATCAAATTTAAACCAAACTTAAAACAAACTGGTAAACAGAAATACTGGGTTGCTGTCCTCAGGTCAGAGCAGCACGCCAGCACCCAGAGGATGGGAGGAGAAAGCTCCTTCTAGGAGGCTCATCCAAGAGCCTGGCACCATTGGCATTCAATTCTCGAGGAGCAGCCAAGGTACGAGCTTCCCAAGGTAAAAAAAAATCTTCTTGCACAGGGAATGCATCCCTCTGATTCCATATGGCTAACATTCACTTTGAAAAGACATGTTTTGCAAGCAGCCATTAGGATGTGTGAGCCTTCAAAGCCCATGCCCAGCTGGCAACCACCTGCCTTCATACTGGGAGGCTCTCTGAGGACAGGCCAACATTGGCAGGGCTCTGAAGGTAGGATCTTAGTTTCAAAATGACACAGTGAGATAAACTATCCTTAAAACCTTTGAAGGCAAGCTACAGAAGCAAAAGCCCTCTGGTATTTCTTAAATCAGACCAGCACTGCTTTTTTAACGTTAAGGACTTCAGCACAGGATGTGTTTGACACCTCAAAACCTCACCCTTTGCCCCTGCTCAGCGTTGTGCACGTGGCAGGGCACAAATCCCCACAGAATGTGAAGACTTGCATACCTTTTCCTCATAGTTTGGAAGCTTGTCTTTGTGTATGGTTATTATATCCATCCAAGAATAGTTTTCTGCTCTCCGGATCTCTTTCAGACATGGATCAGTCTCATAGTTATCAGCATCCAACTAAAAAATAGGCAATGGAAAAAAGGAGAGGACTGGTCATTCTGACACATGGCACAATTCAGGACACTAAGGTGGAAAACCCCGAGCCCCCAGGACCGCCAGGTGAAGCCGAGTTAGCCGCCATGGATGCACAAGCTGTGCCAGCTTCGGCAGAAGTACCTGCACAGAGTGTCCCCCCTCTGTCTCCTCACAGACACTGCTGGGCCCTGCCTACCGCCTACCCTTTCCCGGCCTGGGCAGCGCCGCTGGCACTGACCCGGCCGGTACCGGCTCCCACTCTCCGCGGCCGAGCACCGCCCCAGCTCTGCCCCAGCAGCTGCCGCCGCTGCTCCCCTCGTCGGGCGGGTGGCGGGGCAGGCCTAAGGCACTGCCTCCTCCAGGCCACCCGAGGCCCCGCCAGCTCCGGGCCTTCCAGGCGGCCAGGCCCGTGCGGCCCCGCCACCGCCATACGCGCTCACTGACTTTGCGGTAGACCACGCCGAGGCGGCGCAGCTCCTCCAGGCTAACGGCGCGGTTGGGCCGCAGCCGGTGGGGCTCCCGCTGGTCCTCCGGGGACTCGTCCATGTACCAGGCCTCCACCATCCCGCCGCCGGGGCTCCGCTCCGCTTGGCCGAGCTGGGCTGGGCAGGAGCGGCCCGCCCCGGCAGGGCCGGGGCAGAGTCCGGGTGCAGCCCCGCACTGACAGCCTATGGGCGTTGCCGTAAAGGGGCACAATTTGCAACTGAAACTACGCTGAACGGGGGGGAGCGTAGTGCGGCAGACGCGGCTTTCGTTTCAGTGCACGGCCTTAAGCTCAGCAGCAACAGGTGAGGAGAGGCCCCCACAAAGGAGATCTGTCCGCGTAAGGGGCTTCTCACTCGCACAAGCCCTTTGAGTAACTTGCTGGTTATAGCACAGGTCATGCCTAAGTTCATCAGCAACTGCGTTTACATCCATCCCGCCCTTGGCTGTAGTGCTCTGACTGAAGTTAACAATCGGGCTCGGCCTCAATGACCTGCCCTGCAACCCCACAGTATGGAAAAATAAGAAATAAACTAGGGAGCAGCAAGGGAGGAACAGTGGCAAGAAGCATTCTGCCCAGAAACCTCCTGTCTCTATCCATGGAGATACATCCTGAGAGAGCTGCTCAGGGATGACCTGCTTGAGCTGAGCTGGACAAGACACACTCCAGCAGTGCCCTCCAGCCTCCTACAGACTACGTATTTCTGCAGTTCTACCTGGCAAATAAATCAACAGCCACCTAAAACAATGTAAGGGTGGAGAACCAGCTGCAATAATCCCTCCTTAAATGCTTTTCTTCCTGAAAAGAGTTTTATACTTACCAAGTGTTTCCCAGGTCCTTAGACCTGGCAACAGATCCCTTTATAGTATTCATATATAAGCACTACTGGTTTTTTATTCTGGGTAAAATTTAAGCCCCATAACATGACATCTGGTCCAGTGGTGGTATTGTCTGCATTTTTAGAAGCACACAGGAATCCAGCCAGAGGTTCAGTGCCTATCCACTGGATGTCATGGCACTAAATGCCCTGAAACAGTGACTAACAGCCACCATCCTCTGCAGGTCCTCAAGTTAAGTCCCATTAAGAAGTATTATTTGCTTTCCATCCTTTAATCAGCCTTAATCTTGTAACTTTCCTCTTAGCTTTGTCTTACATTTCCAGAGCAAGAATGATAAAAATTGGTATCAATTAACCTAAAACTCTTTCCTATTAGAATTCGTTATATTCTACCTCATAGATTCAGTAAAGTTGCTGAAATTCAGTATTACACAGATGCTATGATTTACCCACCATTATCTGTATTTATTTTCCAAAGCTGCTGCTTCAAAACATAGATTTCCATACAGTAAATAGGATCTACATGCTTAACTGGAGATGTATTGAGAGGGAGATGATTAGATGCCATGCCTTCAGTATGTTATTGGTCACACTGTGATACCTCAACCAGATCTGATCAGGGTTGATGGTGTGTCTTCCTTCAAGCCAGATTTCTAAAATAGAGATGGAAAATTGTGTGCATATATACAAGAGGCAGAGGGGAAGAGCTAATCAGTGGACTACCTTCCCCCTACATGAGCTTTACTGTGCAGTTTTGGATGAGAGAAAACAGATCTAAAACCTGCACTCATCTATTAACTACTAGCAAGATGGTTTCCTCATTCTATTACAATTCACATGACTCTAAACGTGTAAAGGCTTATACTTTGCCTTGGTAAGGATATCATGATGCATGAGTACTATCAAGAAATCAAATTTCAGCAGCTCCACCATTCTGTTATGTCCTGGGTTCAGCAGCAGTCATTTTTCTCCTTCTTGGTAGCTGGTGCAGTGCTGTGTTTTGACTTTCGGCCTGCGAGCAGAGTTGATAACAATGATGTTTTGGTTTGGCCAAGGACTTTGTGAGCCTCATGCTCTGCCAGGGAGGAGGGGAAGCTAGGGGGAAGCAGAGACAGGACACCTGACCCAAACTAGCCAAAGAGGTATTCCATATCACAGCATGTCATGCCCAGGATGTAACTGAGGGTTACCCGGAAGGAGCAGGAGACTGGGGGGTTGGAGGAGGTATCGGTTGGTGCTTGGTTGGGCGGGGGGAGTTTTCGGTCAGCTGGTGCTGAGGTGTTGTATTCTCTTCCCTTGTTATTTCCTTTATCATTATTATTATTGGTGGCAGCAGTAGTGATTTGTGTTATATCTTAGTTACTAAACTGTTCTTATCTCAACCCATGGGAGTTGCATTCTTTTTGATTCTCCTCTCCATCCCTCTGGGAGTAGGGGGAGGGCAAGAAGGGGGGGAGTGAGTGAACAAACTGTCTGGCTGAGTTTAAACCATGACACTGTATCAACAAATACAAAAACAAAGTCAGCAACCTCCAGCTAAAGCCTTGCTGTTCAATGGTACGAAGGTACCTTACAAAGAAGCTAACATACCAAACCTGCTTGCTCTTCCCATGTATATGCATAGAAAATAAAACTACACTGATTACTGGTAATTATTCTCTAATTCAACTTCATATTAGCCATTCCATTAATCTCGACTGGAAAAAATGAAGTCAAACACTTGACATCTGGAAGACCTAGAGAAGCTGATCATCTTCTAGTTCTATTTCATATAAAATGACCAATTATTTATTACCTTTGGTACAACGCTGAAAAGGAACCAATAATGCTAATGTGAACCAGTATGCAGAAAAAAATACTTAATGGAAATAGAAGGCTAGAAATAAAGAGCTTGGACATTAAGCAGCTAGTAAAAAATTCACAATTCAAGTTCTCTAAAGACCTGGCTTTTTACTTTATTCATGCTGCCTTGCAAAGTAAGTAAAATTATAAAGAAATCTCAGGCGCTGTAGCTGATGATGCTGTGTGGCACAGGCGAGTGTTACAAGCCCACCTGCTACTGCCAGAATGTCAAAGCATACCAAGAGAGATCTCTGTGTTAGGTTCCCTCCCCCAACTATTTTGGACTGTTAATATATACCTCTGTACAACAAAATAATTTATTTCGCTAAGAGAAAAATACAGACCACAAGATTCAATATTACCTCTTCCGAAGTCTGTCTTTACGGTGAATTCTTAAGTCTGCAAGACAATTAAAACTACTGACTGAGGCCCTTCAGTAAGATGGGCAAAAGCAAGCACTTTGTATCATCAGATTAAACAAAAAAAGACAAAAATCTTGATTGTAAAACAAATGCTATAAAAGAAAATGTGAGGGTTTTCTCCAGTGAAGTTGGTACATGTTTAATACTTCAGGCCAGAAAGAAGTACTCTTCAAAGTTCAACTCTGAAACAATTGCAGCCATTCAAGTTGTCACTGTGATGCTGACCCTTTCCCTCCCACTGTGACAGTCTCTAGTCTCTGTACATCAGGACCATTGTTTACTAGCTCCTTCTCTTGCTAGTCTATCAGCTTCCTCATTTCCTTGGAAGCCAGCATGACCAGGAATATGCATCTGTTAGGATAAAAGAATAGGAGTGTTAGATATGCAAGAAAAAGGTGCACACATGGAATTTGATCAGTCCACACACAGTACAGCAGCACCTCTGTAGAAGCCCCCCCCTCACATTTAGTCTCCCTTCCTCTAAGAAAGTCTTGCTGAACTGCGGAATTTATCCTTCTGGAAAGTCGTGAACTGGTTATAAGGACTACCTAGCCAAGCCTTTAAGAAATGCAGACAACATCTCCAACTCAAAATTCCCACTTTCAGAGAAGAGAGGAAAACCTATCTGTATTCAGTGCTTAAGCTGTATTAACCTTTACCCAGAAAGCCAGAGACCCATATGCCACTAACAGCTTTGGTGGTTATGGCACTCGCCTCAGATACAGGAACAGGCTATGAAAAGAATCTCTCAATTTTCAGGTATTGAACTGCTCATCCTTCAATTAGCAACTGAAAACACTTTCTACCCTAACTCTGTCCTTGTCAAAGGCAAGGGGTGGAGCCATGGAGATCCATGGGTCCATGATGAAGCAGATATCCACGTGCAGCCCAGCCCATGGACCCCCCCATGCTGGAGCAGGGGGGTTACCATCATAAAGTGTATACATACATCACTCTTTTCAAAATAAAAGTCTTCCCAAGTTTTGATTCAGCTGTTAAAAGTGTGCACAAAGCAACACTACTTTTTTTTTTTTATGTAAATACTCAAAGGACAGTTGAACTTCGCTTTTAAATTCTTGCACAGTCTTCTCAACAGACAATAGGAGTAATTATATAAAATTCTAGTCAGCCTTTAAATTGGAGTCACCAGCTCTAGCACACAGACCAACATGACTGAAAGAATATCTGTAATATATTTCTCATAGGAAAAGTGCACATTGAAGATCTAATTCATCCTGTTTTGTACAGAGTAAAGACAGAAGCCCAACAAATATACCATTAGCAGCAAAAAAAGTCAATGGTAAAGAGATTTAGTTCTAGAATCAGTGGGCTTACCTCACAACTAAAAGTAAAATTTAGAAGGAAGGGAGGGTAGATATCCCCTACAATGTTCAGTGCTGAGATCACAGAAAAATATTTTATCAGTAATACCTGTACTATTGTTCTTACTTCTTTACTGGAAAGCAAAACAATTTTAAACTTAACAATGGGTATTTTAAAGACCTTTACGCCCAGTTTTCATGGAAAAAAAACACAGTTACAGTACAGAGAACTAGAGTTGGTCTACTTGGGATTATAATCTCTTAGTTTTCCCATCTTAAAAGACACCCATGTGACTGAGTTGCACCAATGAACCAGCATCTTAAGAGTCCTGAAAAGCAAATTCAGAAATTCAGCTGACTCGAAAAAACAGTAGCGTTTTAAGCTTAGTTTTCCAGCAACAAAAATCTCATCTACTAACAGTACTAATGAACTAAAAGTAATTATTGCAGGCATCTAAGTAGTAACAAGAGACAGAAAACAAATACAAGCATGCATTTTAATAAATGAAATCCTGGTTCCAAGAGTCTAGTTATGTTGCTTACTTGCTTTAAATAAAACCAGCAGCTTCTCTGTATTTACGGTTTTACTTACGGATGTAGAGTATTATGCTCTATAAAACTTAGTTACAATCAATTGTCAATTTTTACAAGAAGCACGTTTAAGATGTCATTAATAAGAAATCAGGCGCTTACCCACTGAATTTCTATATCTTTTGATAAATTAGCAAGCCTTTCAAAATCTTCTTTATTTATTACACTTCCTCCTGAACTTGTCCTCCAGCCATTAGTTTTCCAGTTGTCAACCCAGCTCGTAATACCTACGTAAAGGGGGCATCACCATGAAAATGCTATTAAAGAAGCCAGCATGATGATGATGGTAAAGGTCTCTTCCAACCCAAACCATTCTATGATTCTAAAATGGAGTAAAGAGCCTTTTAACAAGACATTAACTGTACAAATTCTCATGCAAAGACACTGGAGAGAAGATATTCTTTGCCTGGTTCTCTGCTACTGTCTTTTAGGATTGTATTTTTCCAGTATTACTTGCATTACTAGAACATGTTTTCCCTAAGAGATATTTAAACACTGCAATTCTAGGTATGCATTACACACAAAATTATGACATGAACTTCACTAAACTGAAGCTAAGGATTGCCTGATGCTACAGTAAGCTAGAATAGACCTACAGTTTTATTTATTCTGAGAAATTGAGAAGACACATACATAAAGGAAAAATAGATGACCACCTGTCTTATGGCTTCTGCACACAAACAGAATCCTTGAGAGAAGGACCATATACACAGATTTCTACAGAACAATATTTAACATTCTGGTCATCCCTTGCTGGCCAGAAAATGTACTGTATTACTCCTTAAATAAGAAGACAGATATAGCCTGAATGTTTGGAAATGTAGTCTACATGTAAAAAGCAAAGAAACCTGAATGGACTTCACAAGCGTGTATAAACACAGCCTCTCCAACCCAAGAAAAACAAAACACCTACAGGGTTACTACACCATCTTCCAAGTACTTTCCTGAGTACATCCTTACTAGAGTACAAACAAATGACCTTTCTTCTAGACTTTTCTGTCATACTGAATGCGTTAAGACAAAACTCCTGTACTTACCTCTATCGGCCTTTACTGTAACATACAGTTTGTCTCTGCTTGTATTTCATGCAGTTAGCAGGAGATGCTGCAATATTCTGAATTATTTCTCCAAGCAGTCCTCAGTGTTAAAATAAGTTACGTGTTCTCTTCTGTATATCCCTTTTCCCAAGCCCATATTCTGTGGCCCTTATATAATAAACATGCAGCATGTCTTTAAGAATCAGGAAAACTAACATAATTAACTTACCATTAATAGTGAACTTGCTATCAGTGTAGATAATTAGTTTCTTGATGTTTTGACCCTTTGCTTGCTCTATTGCTTTGCAGGCTGCCTTAAGAACATTTCAATAGAATCAAAGTTCAGACCACGACTTTGAACACATGCAATTAAAATTAAAATACCAGCAAAATACCTGATGCTAGCACAGAACTACAAAGAGTATCACTGCAATCTCTCCATCAGTCAGTATCAACACACTTTAGAGCACAGGTTCCCAAAATTATGCATGCAGATGACCAATTAATGAAACAGGCAAACAGGTAGCCACTGAAGCTTCACTGGCAAAGAGGAAGGATACCAGTTCCAACAGACTGGAACCCCTAAAAGCTCTGTGGGCTTTTGTGGGTTTTGGAGTAGGGCTTTCTTTTTTGTGCTCTGAAATACAGTAAGAGGGAGAAGTGGCCAGGTTTGGATGTAGAGCTGAAAAGACCTCTAGTGACAAGTTTGACCCCTGGCACACAACTATCACCTCTGCTTGTCCCTCACTAAAATGAACTTCCTGTCATTTTTAAGCAGATCAATTCTTCATTTCAGTTCATCTCCAAACACACAGTGCAGGATAGCAGCAATACCAGAATTGAGGTGAGAAGGGAAAACTAAGCCTGCTGCTGCCAACAAAGTTTACTTCATAAGTAACAAAAGTTGTTCATGCGAGCCTAGAACTGTTATATTTATCTAAGGAATACTGTACTCTTGAGACTACTGTATGGGTGCTGCCATAGTCAGGGGTTTGCTTACTTAGAACATGGGACTCGCTTTGGGAAGCCAGGTCTACTGGATGCTGCTGTGGCTGGTCTAAGGGGAAAAGATTCTCCTCTTAATCACCACTCACCCTAAGATCCGAGATACACACATTCAAAGTGCAAAGGATACAATACAAATTTGAGAATGAGGCTTTCCAAATGCCACACTGCTTTAAATAGCTGTGCTTGGCCTGATGGTATTTGGGTATTCTCAAGGTGAACTACCTCATTCAAAATACAATGAAGATCAATAAAACTCAAAGAGAATGATTTCTTTCAAGTCATAACTCCTCATGTTTTGTGTACTTCTCTCACAGTTTCATAACTGTTTCTGAAGGCCAGAGCTGAAACAGTCATGAATGTGCTACTGTGGCCTAACATGCAGAAGTATTTTAGACATTTACTACTTACATGTATTTCTGCTCTTTGATTAGTCTGCCGTCCAGGAAGTCTTTCACTAGTATTTCTGTGTCCAAGGAATGAAGAGTAGATTAGTTACCCCCAAATTTCAGAATGGTGAATAATGAACACACATTATAAAAATAAATATAAGAGAGCTACCTTTCATTTTATAAAGGAGGACGAATAAATAACCTAGCTCTAACTTCCACCTGCATATTTGGACCTGTTATCAATCTGCAGTTAAATTTGTCATCTTCAGTGCACACCTACACCTATTTTAAAACTTTCTGCATCACGTGAATTATAGCTCCAGTCCCTAAATATATTATTTAAAATTGATTTTCCCTACATTCTTACCTCCCAAAGAAGCTGATTTATCTTTTCACATTAATAATTCACTTGTCTCATAGCACTGTCATTATGAGTCTCAACAGCATGGTTTCATATTCAAAAGGAGGCTGGTATTGTAAACTGCATCCACACCAAGCAGTAATATATTAAAGAAAAAAAAAAAAAAAATCCATCCAGCTACTTACAAAGGGTGGCCCGGCCCCCAGTAGACACCTATTCCAGCACGTGCTCTGCTACGTCCATTACCTGAGCAACAACCATCTGTATAAACGACTGCAAACTCACCTGCAAAATAATTACCAAAAGCACAAGCTCAAGAACTATTTCAAGGACATAGACTATTTAAGCAAAAAGAAATGTCTGCCAGCAGATTAATCCCCCAAACTTCCCTCCCACAGAATCCTTCAGGATTCACTACAGAAGCAATATAAATTAATAATGTGGAACACCAGAAGTCCCACTGCAGCTTCACACCCCCAATTTGACTGGTGTCAAACTAGTCAGCCTCAAGAAGCACTTCTGCCAAAATTGCGTATTTTCACTACAGTTCCCGTCTTCTCCAATGAAAACTTCCCAGCTACATCAGTATATTCAAATACAGTCTGTAATCCAGACACACATGATGATCGCATTAAGCTCTATGTTGATAAAAGTTAAAGCCAACTAAAATTACCAAGAAAGACAATGTGAACAAATATATCATGGCTCACATTTCCATCTTAAAAACAAACTATGTTAGGCTGGGCCTCATGTTGCTATACACAAACCTTCCTAAAAGCTGTCTAATAACTACACCTGTTACATATCAAAGAGTGCAAAGAAGTTAAAAGAATTACAGGAATAATGAAAAAACTCACCCATATATGAAAATTTATCTTCACTGACTGTTGGCGCTGAGTATACTTCATCATGTTTTACACGCTTCGCAATGTGTTCTCCACTGGTGGACAGTTCATACGGCCTTTTGCACGTATTGCAACACAATGCATTTGTTTCTGGTTCCTCTCTCTGGCTACCATTCTCCTGTGTTACAGGTGCAGGACCCTGTGCCCCTTCCAAAAAGAAAAAAAAAAAAAAAAAGAAAGAAAAATAAAAACGAGCGAGAGAAGAAGTTTACCTACATAGAATCGCAGAATCAGCTAGGTTGGAAAAGACCTTTAAGATCATCAAGTCCAACCTTTACCCCAGGACTGCCAAGACCACCACTAAACGATGTCACTGAAGGCCTCGTCTACATGGGTTCTGAATGCTTCCAGGAATGGTGATTCCACCACTTCCCTGGGCAGCCTGTTCCAATGCCTAACTTTTAGTGAGTTGATTTTTCCTAATATCCAATCTAAACCTCCCCTGGCTCAGCTTGAGGCCCTTAACTCTTGTCCTACCGCTTGTTACTTGAGAGAAGAGACCAAACCCCACCTAACTACAGCCTCCTGTCAGGTCATTCTAGAGAAGGCTAAGGTCCCCCAAGCCTTCTTTTTTCCAGACTAAACAACCCCAGTTTCCTCAGCCATTCCTCATAAAACTTATGCTCCAGACCCTTCACCGGCTTCACTGCCCTTCTCTGGACCTGCTCCAGCACCTCAGAACTGAACATCTTATTTGAACTGCAGCCTCACCAGTGTCCAGTACAGGGGGGAGTGATCCCTGCCGGCCACACTATTTCTGATGCAGGCAAGGATGCCATAGGCCTTGGCTGCATGGGCACATATACAAGATCAAATCTTACCTGAAACAAATGCTTCTAAAAACAAGAGTCATTATTACCTAATGCCAGCCTCTTAACTGACACCACCGCAAGCTACTATGCAAAACATTTTATAGTCCACACCATTCTTGATCCTTGATCAAACTGAAGAGGAGACACACATAGCCACACATAAGACACAGTACAGGCAATGCACAAGCACCTACCCTTCTGTAGGGTACAGAAGTACAAGCACCCACAGAATTCCTTCCACTGCATAGACACACCCATCGCTGTGTTCAGAGGGCAGGGCCACCGCCACACTTACAACTACGGCACTCCGCCAGTTACCATGCGTCCACCAGAGAATACGAAGGAGCTGCTACCCACGTGTAACATTGTTTACAGTGAGTCTATGGGGAAAGCAGACAGGCCGAGTCTCCCTCCCCCCCCCCGTCGGGCCGCCCTTCCCAACCGGACGAAGAGACGCGGCAGGCGAGGGAAGGACGAGCTACCTGCCGACTCAGGCTGCTGCTGCGCCGGAAGGTCGGAGCGCACGAAGGCCCAGGCGTCCTTCTCAGTAGCGAACTTCTTGAAGCTAGCGGAGGGGAACTTGTTCACTTGCTCCTGACACTCCGCCCTGCAACACAGGGAGGGCACGGTGCTGAAGCCGGCTCGAGGCGGAGGGTGGGACGGGGCTGAGGCCGGCCCGGCTGCGGCTCCCTGGGCTGCCGCGGCCCTTACCAGGTGCGGTAAACGCCCGTCCGCCGGCCCCTGCGCACCGCGTAGAACATGTCCTTGGAAACAAAACAGGAGTGACTGAGCACCGCTACAAGCCACCGCAACATGGCGCAGCCCCGCCGCCATCCGGCCCCCCCGGACCCACCCCCGGTCACCACACACCGCCACTCCCTGCCGCACAGCGACCGCGCAACTCATCCACCTCAATTTACGCATGCGTGGTGACTGCTGGGGTAACGGGAGCGAGGGCACGTTGAGGGCTTTTCTACGGGCCGTGAGAGAGGACAAATTTGGGAGGAGAGGCTTGCTCTTGAGTTTTGTTTGGGGTTTGTCTTCCCGCTGTTGCCTGGTAGTGAGGAAGTTAAGGTTTGTAAAGGACTATGTGTGGGAAGGCTTGAAAATCTTGAGTTTATAATTGCATGTAGCATGAAAAAACAGTGTTTCCTTACAAGCTCATAAACCTTGAGAAGTGATAGAAGTCTAAGCGATGAAGCATCTGGATCAGAAGAAGACTCATAGAAAGGTTTAGGTTGGAAGGGAACTTAAAGACCATCCAGTTCCAACCTCCCTGACATGGGCAGGGATGCCTTCCACTAGACCAGGCTGCTCAAAGCCCCATCGAACCTGGCCTGCTGGGGATGGGGCAGCCATAACTTCTCTGGGCAACCTGTGCCAGTGCCTCACCACCCTCACAGAGAAGATTTTTTTTTCAACATATAATCTAAATCTACCTAAGAGTAACATCTAAGTAACAAGAGTAAATCTAAGAGTAACAACTAACTTCAGAAAGATTAGGAAGGCAGAAGTAATTTTGAAAAGCCTAGCAAAATGGAGGATAACTCAGTTCCTAGAGGAACTTGTTTCAGTACAATACTAAAAATCACACTCCCAGAGATGAGACCCTGCATTGTGAAATAAATATATACTTTGTGAAATAAATATATATACTTTCTGAAATAAATATATACTTTGTCTTTATACAGATATGTAAGAGCCAATGATTGTGGATACAGACTGTTAAAGTGTACAGAAAGGACTTTTCACTGTTTAAAATGTATAAAAGGTAGATAGCTGGCAGACTGAGGGTGTGCTAGCTTTGTGGATTTACCAGCTAGTGCCCATCTTTATACAGACATTAATTAAACATTTTGACTCTGTGTGAATCAGCTCTCTGCCCACAGGCTGAAGAACCCTGATTTTGAGACACCACCACCATAATAATTGTATTTTAAAAGCCATCTAAATCAGCTTTTGTTTTCCAGGGGGACACATGAGGTGTATGGGATCACAGCAGTTTACACAAACTCCTAATTCTGAAAGCACCCGTTCTTAAAAAACAAATAACTTCTTACAGGTGTCCTCAGCTGAAGTTCTCCTGTGCCAGCCCAAATAATGGTCCCGATCATGTGACCAGCTACCATGACTGGTCTCATGGCCTCTAATGGGTCATTAGAATGATGACTGCACCACTGAGGAATGAATGTGCCCTGCAACATGCTGCACAGGCCCCACTTGTCCTTCTCGGCTTGACAAGCACCCCAGGAAGAACTGGCACTGAAATATGGCACAAGTGTCAATGTAGTTAGTACATTCAAAAGTCTAGAGCTGATGAAAGTCATAAAACTGGTTCTCATCCCACTATTTAAATCAAGGGTTTCTGGTATGTGTGTTCCAGCAGAGCCCCGTACCATGATGGCCTCTGAAGTAAGAAGAACCACATCTTCCAAGCAGGTTCAAGTTCAGACTGTTGTGAACTGCAACCTGCTGTCACAAATCCTAATACCAGGAGTGTCATGTGCTTGGGGACCAAAACTAGGGGATCCAGGTGTGTGGCAAATCCAGTGCTTCAGCTGAGCTGCTGCTGAGATCAAAGAACAAAAGCTGGGGGCACTGGTATGACTGCTTCCAGAAACTGCCCAACACATACATGCTGCTTTTTTCAACTGCTAGATTTCTCTTATAGCTCTACCATAGTTGTGTTGAGACAAAGCCAATCTCAAAATGCCAGAGCTGTAGAGCCTTCTATTCAGATTTACAGGGGTGGCTAGTAAAACGCTAAGAATGTGAAACACTGACGCTACTTTTGTCTTCCATTGCAGAGGCAACAAATGGGTTTAACTTTGCTGTGCATATCAGCTGGATTACACCTCTCATTCAAAAGAACCCAAAAATAAACTGAAGTGCTTTTTTTATGTCACAGGCCTTGGGGGAATACTGAAAAAATTTGGTTGGGGTTGTATCAGCATATAATTACTGCATTTTTCTTGCTTTTTCCAACATACTGATGACAATGCATAGAATCATAGAATAGTTAGGGTTGGAAAGGGCCTTAAGATCATCTAGTTCCAACCCCCCTGCCATGGGCAGGGACACCTCACACTAAACCATATCACCCAAGGCTCTGTCTAACCTGTCCTTGAACACTGACAGGGATGAAGCATTCACAACTTCCCTGGGCAACCCATTCCGTATTCCTCCTTTCATATTGCTCTTACTTAAAAAATGCTTACATCTGATTTTCTCAGATCATGATCATTTATATTAGTTATCCCTGTAAAGGTTGCCAGTGAGACTTTCAGGCTTTTCACTACTTCCTGCTTGTGATATTTTTATTTATTGCTCTTGGTTAGCTTTTAATTATGGTTTTCTATAGCAGATGGATTTCTTATTCCTTACATGTCCATACACGTTACTCTTAGTCTTCTTTGGGCAACACGTACTGAATGGAGTAATGAGCAGTCAGTGATGGAGAAAGAAAAGACCGTCTGTTACACTCATTAGTTGTCTAGTTGAACAGATTCAGACATTCAATTTATATGCAAGGACTAAACTGTAACTTTCCTGCTGTCATGGCCAACACGCAGAGCTCAGATTAAAACAAACAAACACCCAAAATTTTAATTCCACTGAGTACCATACACATTACTTTCATTGCTTTTTCTCCTGGTTGGTAAAACTGAGGCTGCATATAGCCAGCTAACTCTACCTTTACTGCTGCATCTCTGTTGCTGATTTTTCCTTGCTGCTGTGCTGCAATGGAAGGCGATATGGATCCCGTCACTTTTCTCACGTGGCAGCTGGCATTTTCACTATAGTGGCATTTAGCACTACGAGGCTAAGCAATACCTGTGCTTGCTTCATGGTACTTCCTCTCTGGTTACTGTAGCACTAGTGGATTGAGGGGGCGTTTCAGTCAGCCCAGGACAGAGAGGATGTTTCAGGCTCTCTAATTCACGTTTTTGCAAAGTGAGTGCAAAGACCCAAGAAGTGACCCATTTAGTCCACACCTGCAAAGATGAAAGCTCCAGATGAGCTCTCCTCATCTGAATACAGAATGTAAATATATACATGGACAGGACTTTAAGTGGGTTTCATAAACGATTTAGCACTTTTAATCAATGCCAGTTACACATGGCAACTCTGTGTAGCCACTGTAGAATAAGCTGATGAGGTATACAAATCTAGCCAAGTTTTGCCATATCAAAGCTTCCATGAGTGCTGAGATATTGGGAATGAGTGGCTAAATGAAAAGGAAGGAGAATAAGTGCACCTGTTTTGGTCGAAATGTGGCACCACGCTGAATGAGAGTGGTCACTGAGCCATGCATGGCCTGGTAGTGAGCATTACTCTCACCACACTGCACCATAAATTCAGCTGTGTTTTACTGCCCTCATTATTCAGCTTATAAGAGGTGCTCTGTTCTCACCCCCCCCCCCCAAATTTGTGCGTTCATTTATTAGCATATATTCTTGGCAGCCATTTTTTTGTTTATAACAGTCTGCAGAAAAAAAAACCCCACAACATACATATACAAAAAATACACTTATCACTTTAGTAAGGGCATGTGTCTGTAGGGCATTTTTACTTGAACTCACTGTAAATTTATCTGACTACTTTGCCACATATTAATGCATGTATTGTACACATTAGCTAAGCATTTTAATCTTATTTGATAAATGTTTTAGCTTGTAATATGGTTAACCACGATGTAGTTCCCCACATAAGCTTTTAAAGGCAAATTTGATGTGACCTGAATCAAATATTTCCTATTTAAAACTGAGATTTTAGGTAAGTAGGCAACTAGGTAGTCATTTTATCTAGCATACCCTGAAAAGTGTAAGTTACATTGCTATCACATTACCTTGACTGAAAACATGACAGGAAAAGGAGCTGTTTTATCTTCCTTGTCACAACTGAGATCTTGCAGAACAAAAAACTTGCTTGTACTTCAGTGTAAAACTATGTGTCAGTGAAGCTGCAAAGTAGTAACCCCTGGTATCATCGCAGTCTTCAGTCGACCTTTAGTGGAACAGCCCACCCATGAGCTTTGAAACTCTGGTATAGTTATACAAGCCTCTTCCAGGAAAGTGAGCTGGCAGTTCTAGAGGTTGCTCTGACCCTGACAAGTCCTACCTTCTTTCTCCGTGTCCTATTATATGAGATACTGTCCTACTGCTGTTGAGATACTTCTGTAACACACCTGACATTCTTTCCGCTTCTTCATCCATTCGGAGTCTGCACAACATAAGAACTTTATTCATTATACTACTTTGTCATGACATAACTTCTTTTAAAGATCACATGCCCACAGTGATTTTTGAAAACCTGGCAGCTGCTTTGCATACCCAACACTGTTGACGGGCCAACATACATCTCAACACTGCATTTTCCCCTAATGCACAGTCAGTGTCAGAAAGAAATCTATCTACACCTTTTCTCATTGCTCCAGTGCAGCATTCAGGTCTATTCAGCAGCAGTAATAGCATGAAGATGGGCAACTGTAGACAGTCATCTATATTTTTATTTCTTCATTAGCATTCTGAACAGTCAAATTTTGATCCATCTGTATGTGACTTAGTCCTTCTCATGAAGGCTTTCACAGTAGAAACTGCATGTGGACTACTGGACTGCTGAGATGATTACTTGTCATCTTTTTTTACTCTTTGATAAGATCCTCATCACTGTTGTTTAGATAATTTAAAATCTCTATAAATACTAATCCTGGCCATCAGCATGCACTGGACAGTTTTTCCTATTTAATTCATGCAAGGGAAGAAGGGTGAATTGGAAGAAAATGGGGACTGAACAATCTGCCTTTCTGGCTATCATAAATACAGCAAAAAGCCCACAAATGTTTGAAAACATGGGCTGCCTTCAGCAGATGCTAAAGGTGTTCAGGTTGGGGG